ATTAAGAACCTTGCGATGCGAGCGGAGTATAAAGTAGTAAGGGTGGATGAGACGAGAGGACTGAGAGGACGTGGCTCATTTAACACCGAGTACGGATTTGAAAAAAAGTGTTTCTGGGGGCACGCTAGGAGGTGGCGGCGTTTGGGCCCCAATCGTAACGACTTCACTCATCGACATTGATTCTTCCAAGCTAATAACTCCGATGGGGCGATTCTCGCTTTTTGCAACATGCCGTTATAGACAGCTTGGAGGAAGAATGCAATCGACTTACAAAATATCTCCGTGTTAGTGCTGAAAAAGCTCACAGTGGGAATGCAACCAAAAAACGTCTGCATTGATCTGCCCACTCGAGTTAGTACCACAATGTAGAATTACACAGGCCAGAGACTGCGGTATATTTACGTGCAAACTTGCATAGGTCTGTAGAAAGGCGATAAAGGAGGATTTCCAGCAGCGAAGAGTAGTAACGACCGAGGCAGCAGAAGTTGACAAAAGCCTTTGCATCTGTTGCTGAAATTAGGCCAAAGTTCACAAGACTATGGTAGTTACACTTCACGGAACAGTTATGGATTCCAGAAAGACGATGGAAAAATTCACGACTAGTAGTCTGATCTTTTCCACAGCCACGGCCTTCTGCCTCACTACGAAATTAAAGAGGATGGATATGTCAACTCACAGGTTCTCCCCTTTGAAATCTGCTATTTCGTATGTGAAGAATCGAAGAACACCTAACGCAGAATAGACAAGAGCTGAACCTTTGAAGATCCTTCCGCCAGTCTTCATAAATACACTAGCTCGGCTTTTCACATAATAGTTGTCAGAATGTAAGACATCACAATTAAAGCAAGACCAGCAAGACGACCATGCTGTTATATAAAGAGCGGAGACTCTCACGAGATCAGGGAACTGGCTACAGTCTGTCGTATACTAATTTTTCATTGCAATAATCCCCAACAACAATGCCCTGAAAAGGGGTTGCCATTCGAGCAATCAAATTTTCCGAAAGAATCCAGTACGATAGACCATATCGACACGATAACGCCACTCGTTGATGTATCGCAAGAGCATGAGAGACTTCTTTGCCTTACTTTTAATGACTTGAAATGGGTTATAGACTTAATACAAAAACGACCTATGGAAACTATGGACAGTTAGTAGGTACCTACACTGCTCATAATGATCCTCCACTATTATGGAACAGCTTCACAAACAATATTTCGTATCACGCAACGAAATTAATATTGACACAAACCAATCTGGAAAAACGACGCATCCTTGTCAAAGTAATTTACTTACGAATCAATTAAGACACGTCATGCGAACTGGCGTGCGATAGCATGCCTATGAATGCGAGAGCAGGTGGTTACGCCATCTTCGTTTTTCAAATAATGTGGTTGTTATAACATCAATCCTTAGCTAGGTGGAATTAGTTTCTCAGGCTCACTTTATCAGCGTCTGCGGAAAGATTTTTCTTCGACTAAATCTTAAGAAAGCAAGAGTTTATTTTTTGATCCCTGGAACAAATGTTTCCCAATGCAACAATTCTTTGCATCAGGGTGATACAAAAATACTAGCTCACTTCGAACGGCAACTTTAAAATCCTTTACAACTCGGTCTAAGCACATGTATATTGGTCAAAATAGGAAGTTATTAGAATTTGCACGTTTTCGTCTACAAGACACACTTTTTATTTCGAAAAACTGCTATCCAGTTGGCGAGAGGTCGAATGAGGCAAGTGTTAGAGGATACGTAACCCGTGTCCTTTAAATTCTTTAACGTTAGTGATGCAACGTCAAGTAGGACGGATCAGCATTATCTTTTGACCAATTGTGGGTTTACCTCAAGTTGCTCTATGAGGTGATTTCACCTACCAAAAACGGAAAAGTGATTGTAACTGGTCATAACCATCTTTTTGTGCAGGCTTGGCAACGGTAAATGTTTGAGAGGTTCATCTCACTCCACTCTCCTTGGTGTTCGCCGTCTATTGTAGTATAAAGTTTAAATTTTATCGTATGTTTTGTCTGAAGCGTTACAATTCGAAGGCGACGTAGGCCATTTTTGCGGTATAAAAAAATAAAGAGCACGTACCATGACGGTGGTGACCCCGCTGCCATTTTTTCAGCCATTCACTTGAGGCGTTTTTTTTATATTTTCAATACTTTCCAAATCGAAATCGGTTGAGGAACCGTCAACATTGATTTTTCTACAAACTATTGATTTTTCTATAAATTCTCGAGTATTTTTTGGAGAGGTAACTTCGACTATCGCTTTTAGAGAGGAGTTGTCTACTGCTGATCCGATCAAATCCATCCTACCACCGTTCGTTCTCATGGAGACTCAGACCTTCGATGCAACACCGTTTCAACCATTTCATCACATAACGAACGTTTTATTGTTAAGCAAGAATTAAACTGGAAATGGTGCACGTCGATAACGGGGCAAGTACTTGATGCAAAGTATGTTGATAATTTCCACTATTCTAGTCGCTTTCCAACTGCGGTTCCCTCATTTTCCACATCAAGCATAGTTTTCTTTTTACCACATGCGTCAGATATTTCTGTTGGAGTGCGATTTTCTTTCTTTCTTTTAGCGACAATGTCCTCACCCACTTATAACTCTAAGAAGCCTTTAGCCCGTGAATTTCAAAGTGTTGTGGACCTAGTAGCTCACCCGTCAAAAATCTGCTGAATTCGCCAACGCGCATTGAAATGAACCGTTAATGTAGAAAAAACTGATTTAATGTTACCGTTGAAGCCCCGAAAAACAAATCCTTCAAGTTAAGTTTTTAAACTCATTCCGCATAATGGCTGGGTCATTTTTGTCCCCTATAATCCTATGAGCAAAGCATCGCACAGTTAATGCGCCTTATATGGAATCAGAGTACCTCGTGAAATAGATGTAAATCAGTGCAAAAAAGCAACCAGTTACAGGTAGTGCACAAGGAAAAGACTATTGGAAGCAGGACAAACGCGTCTATCTTCTGAGACCACCACCCACTGTTGTGAACCTCACAGGTCTAAAGTTCTATCACCAATATTACTGCTCATAGAACAGATCATCAGCCACTATTGTCATAGTAGGGGTTTGAAAAATCATAATACGTGTGTCAGATGGAGAGAATTTCTTCTAGATTATGCACCCTGCTGTCTGTGTTGCAAACAACTAGAGAAGCTGCAGCACTATCAACACATAATGTAAACAATGTAACGTCTTTCCTGGTTTGCTCTGAGACGAAAATCCTTAAAATAAAGAAATAATAAAGAAAAATAATAAAAAAAAAAGACCTAATAAGGTAGGTTTATTGGTTGGTGCACGGCTCACATTTTGAAAGGTGACCGAATACATTTTTATGACCATCACAAGATCGTATTGTTAAATGTATTCTACATTCTGCACTACACAGTTCACTACTATTTATGGAGTAAATGAACTTGTAGTGTAAACAGCTGAATAAATCCTATTATGAACCTCGTGTAAGCTCAGCCGTTTAAGCACGTGTTCAACATTTTGCTCCCGGGGTTTAAATGACGATCGGTTTAATAATTGTTTTCAACGTACTTTGCTTGAAGATCAATCAACTGAGCAAGTAGACGAGATTTTGCATCATGGACCACAAACCACAGCAACCATCATAGAACTCTGTCAGGAATCCCACATTGCCACCGTCTTAACAGATCGCCGATTACCGACAGGCGTTTTTCTTCTTACTTATTTGGATCAAATTGTCTTTTAAGTCCTTCAATACAAACTTTTTCATGAAATACATATGAGCATAGAAGATTCCATGCAAAAGTTTTCTGATGCAGTTGTTTACCGGGCGTTTTTTAAAATATGTCCTATGTGTGCCGAAGATATTTATTTTCCAATGTCTAGTGTCCTGGTGTTTAAATGAAGATGTTTGTCATGCGAATGCAAATTTATGTGCTAGGTTTTATATGCTAGAGTTATGAAAGTGCTTGGCTGAGTAGACCGCATGTCAATTTTACCTTTACGGGCTCTGAAGAAGGCGAAACCGCCGAAACGTCGGCTATTGTATCCTAATAAATTCTATAATACCAATCTCATGTCTGCCTATCGAAGGAAAACAGTGAACTATCAATCAATACCGAGGTTAACAGACGGTCTTAGGTATATAATTTCTATTAATGACTTTTCAAGTGACTTTTAGTACCCTTGATTCCGTATGGATCCTGTAGCAAAAACAACCTTTAATACTATTAACTTTTTTATGGATGTCCATTTGGTTCCACAACTTTCTAAAGAGTAGTTTATTCTGTCGGTGAAAAAAGATTTTTGCCTTCATTTTCAATGAAGTTTAAGAGCCCCATCTCCCGAAACTTGTTAGAGGTGATGGAATGCTTATCTAACCTAAATAATTACGCATGATCTACCGATATGTTAAGTTAGTGTTCTTATCTTTCTAGGAAAGTCTGCTGTCAATTTTTCGAACCGTTTGGAGGTTTGTGAACACTGGGCGTGAGATCGAACCAAGAAACACGTGTGCATTGCAAGTCACCTCTAACCACTGGGCAACAAGAGCCTCCTAATGTACCAAATAAAAGTGAAATTAAGACAGTGCCACTAAGATAACGATAAAACAAGCTTAAGCATTACTTCACTCTTTTCATTAGTCATCTACAAACCATCATTTCGAAATATTTCAAATAGACCACTTAAAAGCATAACTGCAGATGATGTTCATCTTGAGTTGAGTTAAGACGAAACGACAATACAATTCACAGGAAAACATGAGAAAACCACATCATGGCAGTCTTCCTAGGCACCTGTAAGCTTCAAGAGCTCATTTGCTTAATTTCAAATAATCTTTAATCCTAGAAAAAGTGAAACCATCCATTTCAGTAGTATAGTGTTCAGAAAGCGCTACAGATATTCCTCATCGTTTTATTAAGCTGTACTTATTAATTGTAAAGAAAACAAAGGTCAATTGAACTATAGTTAATACAAGAGCTTGTGCGAATTCAAGAAAAAATTTCTGTGATTTACCCGCCGCTAATGGCTTGCAGGGCTCCATACGCGGCCCCTCTAAGAGCACCGTCGAGCGAGCCAGGGCCGCCAAATCTGCCGAAGCCACCGAATCCGAAGCCCCCGTAGGGTGATCCGCCATAAGGTAGAAATCCGCCATAGGGCGGAAATCCTCCACCGCCAAAGGGCGAAAATCCTCCACCGCCAAAGAAATACCTTCCATAGGGTGGAAATCCGCCGTAGCCTGGAGGGCCTCCATAGCCTCCATAGCCTCCATAGCCTCCATAGCCTCCATAGCCTCCAAATGGACCGTAGCCAAGCTGAACAGTCACTGAGACTGAGACGACGATAATAAAGAAGAAAAAGGGCGAAGTTTGCAGGTTCATTAGCCTGGAATATTAGTATAGCTAAATCAGAACATACACACATTAGTGAGATGTTAAAAATGATAACAAAATTAAAAGCTTCAGTGGGATAGTTAGTAAGGAAGTTCAGGGATCAAGAGTGCTATTCTTCACGATAATTATACCGACTTCACAGAGATAGTAAACAACTTTCGAATGGTGTGTATATACTGACTTCGCTGACATTGGAACTAACAACTTAAGAAGAGGAATTTCAGACAGGTTAATCTAGCGAGCAATACGATGATCGGGAGTGGATATTTCCAGAAAAGGGTACATCTTGTGCGACGAGAAACATTGTTTTGCGTTCGACGACACTGCCTTTTTAAAGCATTCGTAATAATGTACAAAAACAGTTGGCACAATAATCTCGAAAACCTGTTTAAGGAGTTCGCTCGAAAGATAGAGACAGTTGGTGATGATTAACGGCTGTACTTCCAGATTCACCAACGCAACCTTCTTACATTTCAGAAATCCACAAGTTCGATGGTTCAAATAACTGCTTGTGCTATCCGCTATTCGTTCTTTTGACTTATACATAGAGATAAATGCATAACACAAAAGATAAAGAACGGGTAATTTATATTTTGTGCTGAAGAAGAAAGGCGAGGGACCACTAGCATTTTTACAACAAAGACGAAGATAACTCAAATATATTTTCGTATCTTTTGCGAACTATAACAACAATGCCGTGCTTTTCTTTGAGGCATTGATAAACAGTCGAGGCTATCGCAAACTAGTATTCTTTAAAAAAGAATGACTTGAATCTTCACTCTATTTAGGGATCTAAAGGTCGAAGAAACTTTTGCTTGCTAATGTGACTCAGTGTGTTCCTTTTATCCAAAACTCTCTTCTACTCGTTCTAGTACTATTTGGCAGATGGTTTGTATTTGCTGAATTCAACGCGAAACTTTTTCTGCAGTTCGTTCCTTCGCTATTTAAATCAATTTATCTTTATTTTTCATACCTTCTCCGTAGGACGCCTCTCATCGCCAATGGAGCGATTCTGGATGTTAAATGGTGATTTCCAGCGGCTGCTCTGTCTATGACCCAGGAAAATTGAAATATTAGCTTAGTTAAAAACAGTGAGTTACTCTAGCACGCGCCAGTAAATTTTCCATTTTACTCTGCAGGGTGCAAGGGTAGCCCAGTGGGTTCTGCTTGCTCCAAGAACTCGTTGAGCATCACAACTTTCTTCTTGGTTTTTCGTAAAAAACTCTGACAATCGAATCGGATCGGTGGTCTTCATGCACTGCGTTTGATATCCCTAGTAAACCAGTCACAAACACCTCCTATCCATTGGTTGTCGTTCATATGCATTATGTGTTTATCTTATCTTCAACTTATCTTCGACTGCTTGGCACACAAACGGCATCTTTGGTTTTGATCGTCGACGCAGGTCAAAACTTCGGATTCCTTCTCTTACTTGTGTGACACGAGATACTCCTAGTATCGTCCTTTCGACTGCACGTTCAATAACGCTGAGTGACCTTTCATCCTGCTTACGCAGAGACAACGTTTCTGACGCATACCTTGGGGCAGGAAGTACCGTTGAGTCGAAAAGGTGCGCACGAAGTTAGGTGCTCTTTCTTCTCCTCACCACATGGTCGATGCTCTTAAAAGCTTCCCAAGCCGCTTGATTACTTCTGCTCAACTGAAGAGCAAAGTCGTTCATCATGCTAATTTCCTGACCTAGGTAGACGTAACTAGAGCACTCGGAGATATTCACTCGTGAATCGTGCATGACGTACTTGGAAAACAATTTCTCCACAAGGTTCATCGAAGTCGGCAACCATTCGTTTCGCTTGGCTAATGTTTGGTGTTTTAAGAGCGATCTCAACAGCGAAGCTATGTAATTGACCACCATCGATTTTCACTCCCATGTTGTCCCATTAAAATGTTCATATGACGTTCTCGATGGCGGCATAGTATCGCCTTGTCTAACCCCTCTTTTAACGTCAATGTTAATATCGTTGTAGAATGGTGATATCTTGGTTGTGAAATTTTTGTACAGCTCACGAAGAATATGTACTGAGCAGGGAATCCTTGACTATCAAGGGCTTCCACGACCGCTTCTATCTGACTTGAGTCAAAGGCCTTCTTTAAATCGATGAAAACGAGACAGAGCGGTCTTTTGTATTCTCGCGATACTTCAATGAGTCTTGTTATCGTGTGGATATGGTCCATCGTACTAAATCCTTTTCGAAACCTTGCTTGTTCACATAGCTGTCCTTCGTCTAGTGCTCTGTCAATCCTGTTTAGGATGACTCGAGTGAAGAGTTTGTAGACGACAAACTGCAAGCACAGAGGGCGGTAGTTGCTGATATAGTGGAGAGGACCCTTCTTGAACAATAGCACTGTCTTGCTGGTCTTCCACTTAGTGATGGACGTGCATTCAGACAGGTAACGTGTGAAGAGCCGAGCCATGTGTTTACGAGGACTGGCCGAGGGTTCTTCAGGTGTTCTGGTCTTATCCTGTCCGGAAGTGGTGCTGTTCGATTTCTCACCGTCGAAATAGCATGTCGGATTTCGGAACGGAGAACCGGTGGCACAACATATCCATCCTCCTTTATTTCATATGACGGAAGGTGGACGTGACTTTCGAAGAGATCTGAGTAGTATTCGCGAATGATTTGCTCCATTGGCTTTTTGGACGCTGTAACTGTTTCGTCTGTCTCTCGGATTGCAATCATCTTGGTCTTGTAATTGGAGAAGCTTCGGCGAGCTTTGCAAGTGCTTCTCCCAGCCTCAGGATCTTCGACGATAAGTGCTACTCTTCTCTCTTTAAGATCTTCCTATATCGTCTGTCTGCAAATCTTTGACGTTACGACCTATTAATTCGCTCACAAAGTAGTAATGAGTCGGTAAAGAGCAAATGGTACGTATTACTACGTCAACAATCTATACATTGGCGCTTGCCTTGTGTTTGCACATCCTCCAGCCCATACGTGGTTCGGATTCATGTGCTGGTGACAGTGTCCTGAGCATCCGTCGTCTCCTCGCTTCAAGAATACCCCGTATATAAGTCGATTGATTTTTTCTTCGAATTTCTGAGAGCGTGGTTTGTTAACACACTTGCAGGTGGCTATCTCCATCACTGAGCCTTCCTACTTTGTTATATAGCGCCCTTGATCGTACAAGAGCGACAGCGATCTCTGCACTTGACCAAACGAACGATATTCACTGCCGGTTGAGTATGTCTTCCCGGGTGAGCATGCCTCATTCGTCCGATGTTCCACTGACGAGAAGATCCGTCTCGACGCGATTGCGAAGACGCCATGTCGAGAAGAAGAATAACTGTGGACCATCGACTCCGGATCATCGGCTCTGACGAAGACATTAAAACCGTTAACCAAATAAAAGCTGTTCATCAACCTCGGGTAAGCTCAGCAATTTAAAAGTCGAACGAGAATCGAGGGCAACGTAACAGAACAATCCCCAGTTACAATTTATATCTGGTTGTTCGATCTGTATGAAAGTATTTATTATCACCCCAGATTCAGATGCGTACTTTCCAAGGTGTTTTTCGATAGTAGGAATTAATGAGAGGTGACTCTGAGTTGGTCATTTTCCTGAGTATTCCTTTGATCTTGTGGTTCAAAGAAGAAAACGGTCGTTGATACTGGAGGAAGTAATAGTTCCTTCAAGCATCAGATCATTTGCGAACCACGAGGTCGAGGCGATAACTCGGCAATTTCTATCATTTCTTTATTTACCGTTAACGAATGAAGTGGTAAGTGATTTATATGCATGGTCTTCGTTACGAGAAATATTACATCATAAATTGGTAAGATGTTGCTGAATCCATCTGCTATCGGTGACCCTTTTCATTACTGATAACCTAGTAACAGGTAGTATACTTGCAGCCACCTCTTCTGCAGTAGTGAGCAGAAAGTCCGCGACTTTGTCACAACATGGTCGGACATTTAACCCCTTGTGTTTTCAAAATGATGAAAAGTAAGATCGTACTCATTTTGGCCATAATTCATGCCTGGGAGTTTAATTGCCTTCACCATTAGCATTAGCATTAGCCACCCACAGCCGCAATGTCTTTAAATATGTACTTTGTGCACGTTTGTCTTCCCCTTCATCGTTCGAATGACTTGAACGAGAACCAGTAAACCGTCTATGTACCGGTGGCGTGTTTAGAAGTGACAAGCTGGGTTTCCTTGGTCCAAATGTTTCGCTCGGCACCACATATTTCTTCTAGGGTCTGCATAAAGAGTTCTGCCAAACCGAACAGTGACATGTGACATCACAAAAAACAGTCGTTAACAGTTCCTGACTTCCTGTTGTCGTTAAAGACGCATCAAGTGCATACGGGAGTAAGCCGTTCCATGGCGATGCGTCGTCGTCGATTGGCTATATTGGACACGTTGTCGGCGTTTTTTGTCTTCTTTGCGATGTGCTCGAAACTCTTCAGGGTTTCTCATGCCGATTGCCTCTCCTGCACGACTGTTGAGCTAATTCACTCATCACATTAGCTTTTTAGCACCAGGTATCAAGTTAACACCCAGCGTACGACGTATTCACAATGGTGTATATACGTGGCAGCAAAAAGGAGCACATGGACACTATAGTGCACATTTTCAGTTCATTCGGTTTCTGAACTCCCTACCACGCTACTTGTATTGTATAAATTGGATCAATGTAAGAGGGATTACACCAGAAAAAATTTTCTCTGCACTTAACAATTTGCAAAAGAATCTCATCAGGACCAGTTCATTTTTCGGTGATACACTCTAATATGCCACACTTGCACAAATCGCCTGGGTATAAGGAACCATACAGAAGGATTTTATAGATGTTACTCATTTATAGACATTTAGCTAATGACAGTAGGCAGTAAATAGCAAATTGTGTCTAGTAAGCGCTGAGCACCGACAAAATACTTGGTCACCGATGTCATTTATTGCATTGAACGTTTGAAAGCTGTCCTCTATTATTACTCTCGTAATATTCCCCTGATGTGTGCTTAAAAACGTTTACTTTATAAGCTATAACATTTACTATTTCCGAGGTCATTTGCGATACATGAGCAGTGCTCGAAGGCTGTGCTGTTCCTGCTTAGTGTACTGTTGACGCTATGAGACAATATAGGGAAAAAAATCCTAGGAATAACACGGTAAATTACTTCGATTAGAGACAAAAGGAAGGTGAAATAAGAACAGTGTTTACATTATTCCTCTGAGGGGTCAGAGAATCCGGGGCACGTGTAATGGTGCCAGATGCCTCACTAAACATCGAAAAGCAGAAATATGCAGGTGTACAAGTAGCAGCAATATGTACACATTTAAAGCAATAGAAAAAAGGAATGCTACAGAACAGTTTTCAGACTGACCCTTATTTAACCTCGGCGTTAATGAGCCATGTCTTTGTGGATTATTAAGCTAGCACGAGGTTGATAAAGATTTTTATTCGGTTAAGGTTACGACGTATTCATCTCCATCTGAGCTAATGATCCGAATCGATGTCCAGTTCCTCCTCTTCTCGATGCGGTGTCTTCGCTTCCGTATCGAGTCAGATCTTTCTTAGTGGAATACCGTTCGTATGAGCTATAAACTAACTCGGAAGCGCTCTTTTACACAAGGTTGTTGCTGTTAATGATTGTTCGTTTGGTTCTATATGTATATATATGTGTTCTTATAAACTGATCTTGTTAAAATGGTGCGATGTTGGTATAGTTGTCGTTGCTGTTGTTGCTGTTGTTGTTGTTGTTGTTGTTGTTGTTGTTGTTGTTGTTGTTGCTGCTGCTGTTGTCGTTGTTGTTGATTATGTTGATGTTGATGTTGGTCGATGGGTGACACTTCATTGATTTCACTTTCCTCAGAGTCGCGCTGTCACGAGTGGGACTCCCACGAGTCGACCGACATCATCAACAACAACAACAACAACGGCGACAACAACAACAAAAACAATCACAACGGCAATTATATCAACGTAATCATTTCAGCACGATCAGTTCATTAGAACATATAAACAAATAGGGCGATTATTCATGCCGAGGTTCGCAGAACTACGGTCTTTTGAGTCATATATATATATATTTATATATATATATATATATAGTGCTAGTTGGCCAGGGGGTTAGGGAGTTAATCGGATTTGTCTTTTGACCACCAACCGTACGTAGAATGCTCGACTTTTTATGAATTCGCCACGCGGGACTTTTTTCCGTGGGCCACATCGAGTTTGGGCTATAACGGTTTATAGCAATAACAACAGTACAATAATAATATGTAATATGTGACGATGTGTGGTTAACGGGATATATACGAGCGAGATTGAAATGAGAACAAGTGAAGCAACTGAAGGAAGCTGGGCGGACACTAGAGATGGAGCACTAGGAGCCGCGGGACTGGATGAAGACCGAACGAACGCTGCGAACACTTGAAGACGAATGCCCATAGGCTGGCTGTATTACTTCTGTAGTGGGTGGAGCTTTGCCAGAGAAAACTAAAGACGGTACTGACCCAGGGCATGACACGGTACTTGGGGAGAAGTACATCAAATGAGGCGGTATGCCAGAGGCTTTTATTGAAACTACATACCGAAACGGTATTAAAACTTATACATTATGAATGGATAGATTTAAGATAGGTATAAGTAAATACTTAATATAGGACTCATGTGATATTGTAGAGAATAGAAACTATTTAATAGTTACTATATATATATATATATATATACATATAGATATGTACGTATGTATGTATGTACATATGTGCACATATGTATGTACATATATGTATGTACATATATGTATGTATGTATATATATGTACATATATATATATATATATACAGTAGGAAAATTTTTTCGAATAAATGGAACTGACCTTCCCTAAACCTCGGTGTGACTAATCAATATGTATTCTTTCTTGATAAGCTTGCACGAGTTTGATAAATATATTTATTTTCGTTCGTATTTTTTTGAGCAAACGCGAGGTGTTATTGTTCTTTGTTCACGATTAAGCTGACGTTTCGGCGAATTTCGCCTTCTTCAGAGCCGCTTTCTATGAGGTCTCCACTAAGTATGTCACGTAGAGACCACCCGCACAGAAATCACGTGGAAGTATAATGTCATCCTAATAATGAGGCATCCTCACTCAGTGATGCCCTTCGAGAAGATGGCTCACTGAGGAAGATCTGGCTCGACACGAAGGCGAAGACGCAACGTCGAGGCGAACAACAAGCATGGACCATCGACGCGGATCACCGGCTCTGAGGAAGACGAAGACGTCGAAACGTTATCCGAAAATAAATATATTTATCAACCTCGTGCAAGCTTATCAAGAAAGAATACATAAATGAAACTATTAATATATGAGCAAAACTCGGCACCTCAAGTGAGCTTCGGACTCGCCATTACTCTTTCTGAGAGCTCATGCACTATCCTCCATACCAAAGAGGCTCTTGCTTTATCTTTCTCTCAACCAGCTTTGTTTTACTGCAACGGTGCTATCAGCATTCAAAGGAATCAAAAAAAGACGGTTTCGAAACCCACATGATGATGCGAGTTTTGTTCTCATCTCGGTATCCTCGTGGTTGTATTTCACATCATTCCTTACCATGAAAAAAAAGAGAAAAATTAAAATTTTAACTTATTATCTACCACCTACTCTTTTTTTTAACGACAGGGTATACATTGTGAAATATAACTGTGAAAAAAAGAGTAGGCAGTAAATAATAAGTTGACATTGTGATTATAACTGCGGCCACAGCCTAACTGAGGTCGTTGCCGACTTGGGCCCACCAGATCAGTCCCGCTAACGGGTAATTGCTGATGGCAAAAAAGACCGATAGAACTAGCTGAGAGACAGGCGAAACGAAGGGTCCGCGTGGTGTGGTGGTGAACGCGCTACTCCCCGGAAAGGACAATAGCGCGTTCGTTCCTCAACGCATACACCTGCGGTCCGGAGTTTTGCAAATATCTCAGCATCATTGAAGAAAAATCAAAGTTGGACATTGTGATTAAGACTGTCAAACCAAAGAAATGCCATAATATTTACAAAAAGTAAAGTAGCAGTGGACCGCCAAAGAGTCAGCGCGGTAGTAGTTATTAATTTGAATCGTGGACGAAATTAGATGTGAGCTATAACCACATTGACGCTGAGATACGGAGAAAACTCGGAACTTCACTTTGTCTTCGAACCCACGATAACTCTTTCCAGAACTCACTCATTATCCACTGCACCATAGAGGCCTTTGATTTTTTCGCAACCATGTTTTAACTCTATCGGTGCGATCAGCAGACACCCGCTAAAGGGAATTATGAGCACAAAATGGGATTGAACCTAGTTAAGCTGAAGCTCCGAAATCGAAATCATAATGTTTTAACCCTTGTGAGAAGAATAGGTATAAAATTCCTGCGAAATGGTATTGCAATAGAAGCGTTTCAGAACAGGCAGTAAATAAAAGTGAAAACATTCAGATCACCTGTTTCGTGCAGCCGTGTTAAAGTAGCTCGTGCCGAAGGAAACCCACGCCAAATTCCGCACGCCGCTACTGTGTTAATACAAAAGTGACAATCGTTTTTGTAGTAAAAAAATATTTGCTAGTATATTTTGTAACAAATGCTTGCTGATGATGCACACGATTTTAAAGCTTATTTGCCTTTTAATCACTTTTTATGTGATATTTTTGCTGAAATTTAGTTCGAAATGAATTTTAGCCGTTTTATGTAACGCCCGAATCATAAATATCACATCGCTTTGCTCCGCAGTTTCAAACTCGGTCAAAACTATTAAAAAATAAAAAAGGCTAAAGCTCTCGGCGTTGATCAATCCCCGAGTGATGCGCCATGCATTCGACTTCATTAGGCATCGTTGGAGGTGATTGAATGCATATCTGGTCTTTACACTGATTCGCGGTGACTTACCGATGTATCAAGCCAGTGCTGCTATCCTCACAAGCAAGTCTAGTATCAATTTGCCAACGCCGGATTTATGGAAGGCTTGGTGGGCCTTGGGCGCGGAGATCGATTCCATGTGAGATGCTGGGCGCCTCCGACTACTGTGCTACACGCGTCATTTTGACAACACTATGAACAACTCAAAATGTCAACAAAGCGTTGGAAAGATAGGGAATCCGAACACGAAGCATATGGATTCGAAAAGTTTCGCACCGGGGACGTGAGTCTCCATAGCGGGTGAGTGTGCGTACCGGCTAATTGGATAGCGATTGTTTGCAGGAAACAATCGAAGCTGAGCTTGAAACACCTACTTGAAAGGTTCTAGAAAAACCCAACATTCACAGTTCAACAAACATTTGCTTAATGGAAGACCGTGGAAAAGTGAAGAAACCCTATAAGTAGTACTGAATAAATTTTTTCTTAGTTGGCGTTGGGAATTCGGTTAATTTATCCCGTTAGTTCTTCCTTTCCAAGATTTAAAGAAACCTTTCGTAAAACACAAGTCAATAACCCTCCATTTGCCACGCCATGGACTTTTACCCATTCCTAAACCAAGGTGAGGGACAAGTGACGACCCACCCATGTGGCGGTCGACAATCTTAAAATGAAGAGCGTTCAACGCCATTAAACGGCGGCGAAATTCATGAGCTGCAAAACCACTAATTTTCTCTTTCATGAACTACAAAGCGATTGATTTTTTCACTTTTTGAATGAATAGTTAGGACAGGTTCTCGGGATCATAATGGCAGCAGTAATTGTACAGTACTGCAAGTGCTTCAAAAAGACAGCCTCGTCCATCACAAACATTTCTCTTCGCAGAAGATGTCTCTTTTCTCTGGAAATATCCGTTTCCACCTATTGTATTAATAAGCTGCCCAAGAATTCTTTTCTTCTACTTTTGTTCACGAGGCCATTGTATACTTGGTAATCGAGAACTGTTTCCTAAATTTAGAAGGTTACCAGGTCCTCTCTTCATTTTACCACCCTTAATCTCTGTTTCTTTAGCCCTCTCTCTCTATAAGTAACCGACTCACACTGAAGACAAAACAGGAACACTTTTAGTTAAAGTAAGAACATTAGCCTTGGTATTTTATCAACCACCACCTTTTAGCACAAAGACACTGGTTGCCTACAAAGAACCACTGTGATGTGTTGAGATCATTTGAACATAAATAGAATGAAGAACGATTCACTGTTCACTTGATCTCCGAGTCTCTTTGCTGATTTGCCCACTGAGCATCGCAATTTTTTCGTCGTCTTCAACATTTCGCCGATGCGTTCAAACGTTGATGATGTTTTAGCAATATTGCAGGCTAATGAACCCTCTACTGTTTTACTTATTATTCCTTGCCATTGTCGTCACAGTGAGTAGTCAAAGCAGCTACTATGGAAATCGTTTTTTCGGATACGGTGTATATGAAAACGGATTTAGACGGCACGGTGGACTTATTCCTTATAGCAGAGTTGGACCCTATGGCGGCGGATATGGACGCTACGATGGATTAGCACCCAACGTTGGAAGTCGACCCTCTGGTGGCGGAAATGTAGGCTTCGGTGGTGGCTTGTTTAGCCCTGCAGGTACACCTCTTCAAAGTGCTCTTAGAGGAGCTACCATTGGAGCTTTGTATGGCCTTCTTAGCGGGTAGATTGCAAATATTTTCTGAATCCACAGTAAAACGACCTTGTAGGTTCTGTCTTTTATTTTGTCGACAAATATGTGTTGCTAAGACGATAAAAGCTACTCGTAGTGTTTTCTCAGCACTGTTTTACCAAAATTCATACCTTTCGCTTCCTTAGGAGAAACAGCTAGTCAAAATACTAATGTTCCCACAATATTGTCTCTTTCATATGTTTGTACGAAAGATTGTGTTGCTTCCTTTAGACTAAGGAAAATTATTACCTTAAGATGGGCTTCTAGGCTCTTTGATTATGGCGGTTTACCGATCAATACCGATGAAAATAAATTGTTGTCATGTTGAAGAACACCACATTGCTATCTTAGCCTTGCTTTTCTTTTTATAATCTGAGATAAAATAACGAGAAATTTCCCTTACAGATAGGACAAGAACTGCATTCTCAAGAGTTTCAGATCCAAGAAGATATAGAAAGAATGTGTAGAGCTAGAGATCATTTCCGTATTTCATTTATGTAGAATCAAGAGCTTTGAGGGTTAATATTTCACATCATATAATGCCATGAAAAATGAATAATGAGCCAATAAAGGTTAAAACACTGTGCGTTCGGCTGCAGCTTCAGCTTAACTGGGTTCAGCGCTTTTGTTTATTTCCAGCGCTGATGTTTATTTCCCAGACCATTCCCGTTGACGAGTGATTGCTAATAGCACTGTTAAGGCAAAAAAGTGGCTGAGGGAAAGGTAAACCATGGGCCATGGGTTGGTGTGGTGGATAGCAGGTGAACCGCCGGCACGAGAAATCGTACGTTCGGAACACAACCGAGGTTCCATGTTTTCCTCATAACTCAACACCCATGTGTTTTTATTTCATATATTACGCTGCCATGAAAAGGCAGTAAATAAAATTTAAGGCATTGGAAGTCATTTGAAAATTTCTTGGAAAGCTATAGAAGGGTCAGATCTTTGGCGCAGATGTTGTGCACAAGGCGAACACATGGGAAATGACCAACCACATCCAAGAAACTCATACCTCTAATATTTCACACCCATGGGCTTCCACATTGAAGTACCCTTTGGAAGTCTTGAAAAGATCAAGTTTGAGTGCTTTAATTAGAGAGATAGAAGAAAAGACTTGTAATCTTTTCAGTCACATGAACCATTTGTTTTGGTGAGAGATCACTTCGAAACGGTTTTTCGTTGTCGTTAAGACATTTCCCTTAGATGAAACCGTTAAAGTGCTCCGAAAATGTCAATTAACCTGACGGGCGTAAAAAGAATTCAATTTTCGTTGCATTTCACCCATTTCTTCTAGCTTCCTTCGTTTTCCATTTCCTGGGGCTCGTGTAGCGCAGTGGTTAGATGAGCCCTAAAATAAGCCTAAGATCGATCCACACTCGCCAAGCCTTCCATCCCTGCGAGGTCGGTAAATCGGTACCAGAATTGTCTGGGAAGATAGCAGCACTAGCTCGGTAGGCCATCGCGTGTCATTGTAAAGGCCACATATGCTACTAATCACCTTTAACGATGCTCAACGAATCGAATACGTGGCGCATACCTCAGGAATTGATCAACGTCGAGAGCTTCATCCATTCAAAGCGTTGTTTTCCTTCTCAGCAACGGCGAGGTTGTTCTACAGTAAAACAGTTACTTCCGTACGAAAAACACATACAGTGCGACAGTGAAAATGGAAGGCACGTAAAAATGGTGACGTTTCGGCAGTATCACCTTCCTCAGAGCTTGGAAGGGTATACTGACACGCAACTTAGTACGCCGAACGCTTCAAAAACATGAACAAAAAGATGGAAATCTGAATAATCTGAATGGTAATCACACGATCAACAGCTTCTGGAAAACCCCATCGTTTCTACGGCCTTCCATCGAGGAAGAACACCTGATCACAGTTCCATATGGTTGATGACTGCACTACGCCAAATTAAAAGGCGATTCGAAGATAGGGGACGAGATAAATGTGATCTCTGGGTATTCGTCACCGCTATTGCTTATAGGATTCTTGGCATTTGTCCAAAAAGCCAAGCCTCAAGAAACTTCCGCATTGGTGTTTGGCATCCTGCGCGAGGATAGTGACTTTTATATCGAAACTAGCTTTATCCTTTATTTTATTTCCTTTCCTTCCACAGTAACTTCACAGCAAAAAAAATTGCTCAACAGTACTTCACTAGCTTTAGCCACGAGGTTTAGAGTTAAAAGAGTCCATTATAATCGCATTGAATCCTCGCGTAGAGGTCACACACCGTCGAGTACTTGTTAACCGAGAATTAGTTACAGGTCTCCCGTACGGTTCGCGTCTGTGCACAGCACTAAGCAAGCCTCTCATTATCCCTCCACGGTAAACACAGTTGCTGAACATGTTCGAGACGACCAAAACATTAACTTGGTATAGCGATAATCTCGATTGTATGGGGTAAACATGGATTTAATTTTTGCTATGACTGTTAATGGAGTCAAATGTACGGTCCTAAGAGGATGATATTAGATCAATGTCGAAAGTTCCACATTCTATCTTTTACGTATTTCGTCCTTTGTGGAAGTTCCCTTATTTTGTGGCAAGCGATCACTGCAAGTCTAGCGAAACGAAGAAACAAATTAGTAAGCTGGGATTTCTTAAAAATTATTCGATCGATTCTTGGAAAAATTATTGTAGTCGAGGATATTGCTTATGCATGTTCAGTCTAGCAAACACATGAACGACAACTTGGAAATTTCCAACTTTCTGAAGAAAAGTGATAAAGGGATATCCCAAAATGGGATTAGCAGCAGTAGTGGCTCATGCTAAAAAGGTAACCAAGAAGATTCACAATTCAGTGCCTTCAACAAGAGAATGGCAAAAGTTGACACAAACTGCCAAATTCCATTTTGAACCCTGTCACTGTCCTGTTCACCTGCTTCCACATCAGTTCGCGAAATTAAACGTCGCCTGCGAATGACAAAAAAATGACTTCAAATGTGGATTCCACGTCAAAATATTTTCCAAATTTTGACGGAACTTCAATGATGTATGTTAAAAAGTGTTACCTTTAAATAGAGGAAAGTAGTGAAGAAAACTGTCGAGAAGCGAATGGCTAAAAATAGGCAAAAAACCTTTGAAAAGAAATGAGAGAAACCGAAATTTGCATGAAATTTGTCCTATTTGGAAGTCCTACACCTTTTTGATTACTACGTGCCTCTTTCTTGTTAATATAGTCTTTTAGGATTTCTTAGTAAAGATCTGATTTCGACGAGGGTTGTGCAGCATTTCTAACGATACGGCAGTCCAGCGCTGTGGGGCATCCTGGCTGTGGCTGTCTGGCCATAACAAGTTGTAGTAGTCGGCTGGAAAAGGTCCATTGATCAAAACCACATTTACGTAATCTACGGAATCGTTCTGAGGCAGTTTCTTATTAGGGTGGCAAGGATTTCTTAACTGTAAGCCACGGATGATCATTAGGAACTTCACGTTTTGCTGCAGTGAAAATTCCTCTCAGAAAAACCCTCTGAACGAATTGCGGGACTCGGCAGTTGTTATCTATCCGTATACAATGAGTGTTTTTCTCGGTCTTCCTTCCGTACTTAGGAAGAAAAACACCGTAAAAATTCTATTATGTCCCTCGTGTTCTTTCATTTTGGAAAGTTTGTCTGATAGCTAGAATGTACTAAATCACGTCGTTCTCCTTAGACGCGCGTGAAAAGGTGCTCGCATCATGAGATAAATAAGTCGTGTGAAGTTGATCACATCGAATTTACTACAGAACGCCCCAGACGATAATAAAAACGAGATAAGCATTCGCCTTTATCCAGCCCTAACATGCTCTTATTCTATATCTTATTTAAATAATTCTATATCTATATTCTAACAGGTAATATCGAACTGGTGTTTTCTTGTTAGACGAGGAAAAAAAGAATCAAGGAACTGTGCCTTTACTAGTTTATCGTCGTAAATGTTGGCCTACCCTCGTGTATTTGAGAGGTTTGTCTTCCTAGCACAAGCTTTTTTCCAGAATTATGACTTCCCTGGAATTTTTTACGCTTTGTTTCATGTCTGATAGGAGTGCACAAGGCTTGATATATATAGGTGACCATAATAAAGATGAACACATAGTGCACAGTGTGCAAGAAAGTGCATATTCGTGTTGAGCTCATTGGCATCATCTGTCTTACCGCTGACCCTCAAGTTACGCGAGCTGGCCCCAGTAAACCTTTTCTTTCTTCTTGCCGCGTACAAGAGCAGTAGTAGCCCAATGGGCCGTGCTCGGTTTGGAACTCGTTTACCACCATATCTTTCATCTAAAGTTTTCGTTAAATACTCTGACTATCGGGTCTGGATCTTCCTGTGGTACATTTGACATCCCGGGGACTCCAGTTACTAACGGCTCTTGTCCATCGGTTGTCATTCATACGCATTACGTGTACGGCCTACCTTATCTTCGACTGTTTGGCGTACACAACGGCATCTTTGATTTTTGATCGTTGAACTAGTCCCAACTCTATCAATATTAATATCGGTTCGGGAACAGTAGTCGGTAGAGATGCCGGTAGAGATAAACATGCTTGGAAGAACTTTCGATCTACATACTCTGATGCTTGCCTGTACTGAAGACCTGGAAACGTCCTAGCACAAATACTCGAGGATTCCAAGAAAATCACGCTTAGTCTCAACGACATTAATAAAGAAGAGAAATCCTTCAAGTTGCAGAAGAGCCTATATGCAAATTCGAAGACGTTCGTGGATAATGGATTGCGATTGGCTGGACCGCAGGTGTCTGCGATGGGGAATGAACATGCTATTACCCCTTCCGGTGGCTAATGCCTTCACCACCATACCATGTGGATCCTTCGTATCGTCTGTCTCTTAGCCAGTTTTTTATCGATCAGTACAATCAGCAATCACTCGTCAACGGGATTGATCTGAGGAGCCCACATCGGCATTGAACCAGTTAAGCTGAGGCTGTACTTAAAATCACGATGTTCACTTTTTTTTGCTGCCTACTACGACTTTTCACAGCAGGGTACTATGCA